CTTTAATGTTGAAGAAACAGGCAGAGAGATTAATGAAACACTTGACAAGAAGAATGATGTTAAAGGCCGTTTCATGAAAGTCCTTAAAAAAATGCACACATCAGAGCAAGGTCAGGAAATAAATTGTACAAAATTGTCATCAAATTATTCTGATTAAAGAATAAATCTTCACAAGGGAACTTCTTAAGTGGTTTTGAGGTAGAAAGTAAATCTAATCTTACCTGGCTGGTACTCATTGACTGTTGAATTGACTATTTGGTTGTGCTTAGAAGGTGATGTGAAAGAAGTCCTTCAGATTTCACATGTGTGTGATAATAGCACCTCTCTATTATTCATTAAATAAAGCACCTCAATTTATTTCAGCTTTCCACAGAAGCCTGAAAATAAAAGACATCATTGCTTTAAAAATTACATGAGCTATAATTAATTGATTTCTTAAAATAGTGACATCATTTTTTTCCAGGGAGTTGTGGAAACCAGAAAAAAAAACATGGGCCACTTGAATGAAAGAGAGGTTGTGCTCATTTAAGTTCCTAATTATACAGACAGACAGAAACTTTATTTCAGTCATTGACAAATAAAAATACATTCTGTAAAGCAAAGTTGACCCTTAACATAAATGACAGTCGGCAACCATTTGTCAGCAAAGCTTTACATAATATAGCAGAATTTTGCTAACTTTGGAGAGATAGATGTAGCCTGATTGTCTAACAAGTAGTGCAAATAAAAATTATCAGTGCCTGAGAAATTTAGACAAAAAAGAATAATCAACTGGGGCAAATGGCCCTGTAGAACTGACAATACAATACTAACATGGGCTATTGTTTCCAAGGCACCTGTCACAGGAGACGCTTCCAGCCAGTTTGAAGAGCATACTACCCTAATATATACTGTATATCCATCTACAACATGGGTGTCAAACTTGCGGCATCACATTACCATCATGTGATCTGTTGCGACAATTTTTCCCTTCACAGAACTGGGTGTGGCCTGTGGTATGACCCATCTGGCCCATGGGCCGCCAGTTTGATACCCCTGATCTAGAATGTTCTTGCTATATACTACTAAAATACTCACCTAGGATTAATGGCTACTTATTACATTTAAAGACTAATTGAAAGAGTTCTATCAATGTATACAATAAATAGATTTACTATCATTCGTGCCTGCTATAGATTTACTATCACTCGTGCCTGCATCCAGTGACACATATCAATTATTCAAAAAATCGATATTATGGTAAATCAGTTTCCTACAATTCACTGTAAATAAATTATTTACATAATTAGATTACAAATCTGTGTTTATTTAATGAGGAAGAGCACTAATGAATGGAAGTTATATGGTTTTATATTAAAAAAGACATGATCATTATTTCCTCATCATAGAACTTTATGTTTATAGATCACATGAAGCAGTTTGAGCAATTGCAAGCTATTGCTACTCAAGCTAAAGAAACAGCTGCAACCATAACCTCCACCACAGATCCAATGTCTGAGAATGTGACAAAATGGTCAAAAGATCTGCGCAACTTTAAACCTGAAAGAGCAGCTTATGAACGTGCCACAGTCACAACTAGGGATACAGGTAATATGAAGGGATGTGTAATTGAAATGTTCCTTGAAATGTACAGCATCCGTTTTCTGTTTCAAGGATACTGATTTTGGATTGTGTAAAATTGAATTGCAAGAGTAATTGTCAAAGAAAGAGAGGAACATGGTATTGTAGTCAGAGTAAACATAGATCTTATGTCAAACCATTAGCCCAATTCATCAGCAATTATTGGTCAGGGACTGTGGTTGGCTTTGCTCAAGACCACGCTGTATGGATGCTCTGGCTTGACAGATCAGATTCAGCCTCTGAGTTAGAGTGTCCCAATCCTTATTGTTACAAATTCTGTTTTATATAAAGTACCACAGAGCAAACAAAGAGTACAGTCACCATGTGCTTTACTGCTCAACTATATAACTATAACAGAAAACAGGAAAGTGTACTTAGAACAAAAGAGCATAGAGTATATATGATAGATCCAAACTTGTAAAGTTGCCATCTACTGGCTGAATACTACTGTAGTTGTTACTAGAAATTCATTCCAACAATGAATTCCAACAATTATAATGGTTTGAGCTGAGATCCCCTATGTTTATCCCATATATAATAAAAATAAATATATCTCATAAATCACTCAATATCCCTCCTCCCTCTTTAACATTACAATAGTCCATTCAGACCCTTTTCAATCATCAAATTGATTAATCGACATTTCACCTTTTTCCCATTTTTCTGCAAAATATCTACAAAAGGTTGACAGCTTTTTATAAAAGTAGTTAGTGTTTTATCCTTGACCAAAGTGAGATTCCCTTAACTGTTTGAATTTTATATTTTAAAAAAGAGATGGCATTTAATAAAACTTTGACTGAGGTTAATGAAGCTATTCCACAAGTAACTAACATTATTCTGTACACCCTCAATTATAATGGGAAAAGTGATAATATTTGAACTGGATTTCTAAGATATACCATAGATTGTGGTTAAAGTAGTTAGTTTAGTATGGCTGTACAGAAAGTAGAAAAAACATATGTATATATGTATCTGTGCCAGCAGATTCCTCCATTGCTTGGGTAGTGTATGCATCCTTTAAACAATTCAGTGGGTGGGCTGTGCATGGTTGGCTAATTTCCAGGAAAGTCAAGAGCTATTTATTTTTCACTGGGGATCTTGACATTTAAAAAGGGATGTTCTTAAAGCAAACAACATTTAATAGGCTAGAATTGTAAGATGTTTGAAAACAAAGCTTCCATGCTCTACCATAGGAGCTTTTTTACCCAATTTATTTAAACAATCCACTAACTCATATCTTTCTAAAAATGTACTATCGTAAAAGATAAAGAGATTGGTCCACACTGATCTTCTTAGATGCAAGCCTTTGGCTTCTAGGTGTTATTTGCTAATTAACCACTGTGCCATTGTTATGAATCAACATAACCTTTTAGCCTGTAATACCGAAACCCAAGCAACTGTCTTGTTTTGTTTTGTACAACAGTGAGGAGTCTCACAGAACTTGTCCCACAGCTCCTAGATAAGCTGCGTATAGTAGAAGAGAAAAGAGCAGCAAACAATGTGTCAGCCAGCATCCAGAGGGTCCGAGAACTCATTGCACAGACCAGGAGTGTGGCAAACAAGGTAAAGATGCTGCAAGTGAAATTGGGAGGGTTGGAGTCAGCAAGAGTAGAAACAAGGAGCTTGGAAGGAAGTTAGACAAATACAAGTTGTCATTAGCAGCCCAGCAAGAGAAATGGGCTGCAAGCAATCCATTACTTGAGAAGAGAGAGAGAAAGAAATGTAGGGTTTAAACCTGGGGATGTGCAGGTTGTGAAGTTGTGTAGTCACGCCAAGACCTTGAGTTTCCATAGAGACTTGTCCAACATTACTAGAGTTTCCTAGAGAGAGAGAGGTATTGCAGTATGGCCCTTCTGAAAACTGAGTCAGAGACTTTGATACAGTACTTATAGCAAGGAGCCTAATGCTTTCCCTGAATAACTTTTAGTTTCAGCTTTGATGTTAAATCATTTATTGTCAATGGGCATTAGCAAAAGATTGACTATGAAGTTACTATTCTAGTCTAAGTGATAGAATGGCTGACATACTACTGTTATAGAAGACCTGAAGTTCAACACAAATAGTGTACAAATCAATCTTTCGTATTTGATTTTTTTTAAATAAAATCATTTCAAATCTGCACATGGAAATTTATCATAGTATTTTACTTTAGTACTTATTTATTTGTTGATATAAGGATCTAAATATCCTATATGAAGTTCCAGAGAATCACAAAAGGATTTTGCTTGCTATAAATATAATGAATACCAGTAAATAAATGGATATTTTATTCATGAGAATAGCTTCAATTTCATTACCATTTTTCATAATGAATCTGAGTTCTCAATATGTATAGAAAATAAGGCCCTATTTTATTCACAGGGCAATTGTATCTATAGAATACTATTCTGGGCAACCCTGAATCTACCTCATTGATTGTATATTATATTTTAACACAATTCATAATTTATTAATCTTTACAAATAACGTTAACATTCTGCTAATTAAATAGTGCATTAAAATAAATGTATTATAGTTTCTCATTTCTTCCCAAAGGGAGTCTTCCAAGATGTGTCTAATTTTTCTTACATATTTCACCTTACAGGTTCAAGTGTCAATGACATTTGAAGGTCGTTCAGCAGTTGAAGTCAATCCTCAAGTGAATGTAGAAGACTTAAAGGCTTTCACATCTTTAAGTTTGTACATGAAATTTTCTGGAGAAAATCCACAGAGAAAAAAGCCTCAAGATCAATTCGTTCTGTATTTAGGAAGCAAAAATGTATGTTAACTTGCTAGATGTATGGTGATTTCATGTATATTACACTGGGAATTTTTTTTTCATCAAAATTAAAAAAAGGTGCCAATGAGTTAGACCCATCCCTCCAAATTTTATTGAAAAATGTCCACTGGCCTGTTCCCAACAATAATCTCTGGCTTTTTAATCCTGTCCATCCATCTTATCTGTTTTCATCTACTTCTTCTACTTCTCTCAGTCTTGCCAAACATTTTTGTAGATAACTCAGTCCATGGATAAGTAAACCCTTGAATTTTTAACAAAATACTATGAACAATATACCATCCACAGGTAAGCTTACCCTGAAAACTGTTCCTTTGTTTTAATTTCCAACTTGGTTTGTCCATGGGTAATGTGGTTAAAAATTTGAGGGCTGACTTATTTGCAGATGGGCTTATGTATGCTTGCATATAAACCCATCTCACAGATAAACTAAACCCAACTTTGGGGGTATATTTTAGGACCTAAAATTTTTGGCTTATCCACAAGTTTATACAGTAGTCATTTTTAGTCTACCATCTGCTTATATTTAATGGGCAAACTGTGCTAGTTATTGCTTGCTCATCATCTCAAAAGTCAATCTATATTGATCTCTTTGGTCAAGTAGCTTCCAGTTCCATAATCAAAAGAAGTCAGTCCACCTCCTTTTTCTCAGTGTCCAGGTCATATATTACTTTTGGGGGGGGGTGTCACTCTTTCATCTTTATTTTTATACAAATAGCCTTACACTTTATGGTTTTCTTTGTCATTATCTTCCTCTCTAAAATGAATATTTTTATTCTCCAGCATTATAATCATTTTCATGTATTTTTGCAGTAGCATTCACAGGGCCCATGTCAAACAAAACAAAAAATGGCAGTTCTGGCATCAAATTCAAGTATCAAATCAATTTGTTGCATGCAAATCAGAGAGAAGGTTTCTTTTTGTTCAGGGTTTTATTTTTATTATACAAAATACAAAGAAGAGAAGAAAAAATAGGAAATTAAGGGAAGGGAAGGAAACCAGGGAAGGAGGGTATGAGATACAAAGGGAAAGAGAAAATGAAAGAAAAGGGGCATTTCAAGAGGAGGTTTCAATTGCCATGCTAACAACCACTATCATTGTTTTTATTGTCAGTAATGATTGTACAAATCAGCTTTATTTTGAGATGACCAAGTAGTCTTTTTTCCTTAAGTCATTTGCAGTATGTAATATGGTAATCTTCCATTTTGATTCCAGCTCTCAACTCTTCAATCATTTGGACACTATATTTGTTGTATTAACAAATATAAATTAAATAGATTTTGGAAAATATTCATCCTTTTTTCATTACATGTTCTAAACTATAATATTTCTCCAAATTGAGTTATTAATAGTAGTTTCTTGTGTATTGTAAAGGTTTCCCAAAAGACTAACCAGGTGTTCTGGCACACCTAATAACAATTGAGCAGTAAAGAATAACTTAATCAAAGTTAACAACTTAATCAAAATACCAACTCAGATTAAAAAAAAACCGATAATCAACAATCTAATCAAGGAACTATCAAGGAGAAACCCATGCGCCCACCAACATTAACATGCCAAGCCAGTGGTGGGATTCAAAAATCCCAGCAATCGGTTCTCTGCCCAGTTGCTGGGTTGGGCATGGCCATGGTGGGCGTGGCCTATTGGAACTTCCGGGAGGGCCATTTTCACCTTCCCAAGGATCCAGAGGCTTCTCTCGGGAGGGCGAAAATGGCCTCCCCCTCCAGAAGCCAGAAACAGGCCCATTTCTGGACCTCCAGAAGGCCCATTTTTCCTCCTCCCAGAGCCTCCATGCAGACCCTGCACTTACCTGCATCGAAAATAAGCCGTGTGGAGACTCCTGGGAGGGGAGGGGAGGGGAGGGGTGGGCAGGACCAGCCAATCAGTTCAAATACCAGTTCAATGAACCAGATGCAAATTTAATATCCGGTTCACTCGAACTGGTCCAAACCAGTAGAATCCCACTCCTGGGCCAAGCTTTTAAAGAGAACAAACCTCACTCTTTCTAGCAGTGAAAGTGTTATCTAATGAAATGTTTGCAAAAAATACCAAGCTCAAAGAGCACTTTGAAGCCTTAGAATCACATGAGCTCCAGAACAGGGGTCTCCAACCATGGCAACTTTAAGACTTGTGGACTTCAACTCCCAGAGTTGCTGGGTGGGCTGGTAATTGAAGTCCACAAGTCTTAAAGTTGCCACGGTTGGAGACCCCTGCTCCAGAACAGTATTTATGTGACCCTCTCAGGGTCCCTTTAATAACAACTCTTGGAAATGTATGAAAATGGTAGTAGGTACTCTAACATAGATTTTAATATAGCTTAGAAGTAAAAGAAAAGGCATATTTTCCACAAATCCATAGGGAAAAATACTGGGTTCATCTTTTTATTCCTTTCCTGCTCTTTTTATCCTTTTCCCTCATTTTGATCCTGTACCCCAAATGAAAAAATAAGTGCAGTTCCTGACTGCTAAAAGCTTACTTTGACAATACATTTCTCTGCCACTGACATATGTAACTTGATTAGATCAATATATTTTTGTCAAGGCTTTTCTGAGTTCAGCTTCCCTTTCTCTTCACTAGATCATATTTTTCAAGGTGCTGTGTTAACCATTTCTCAGAACATTACAAAGCTAGAAACCAGGGTGACCTTGTATTCTCTAAGTTTTCCAACTGGAGGCAGAACTATGCTAAGCTAATTAGCTTTTTATTTCTCTTGAAACCTTCACATGCATGTTTTGTTCATTTTTTTCTCTAGACAAAAAATTATGTGGGTCTTGCAATTAAGAATGGGAACCTGGTCTACGTTTATAATTTGGGTGCTGGTGATGTGAATATACCTCTAGATTCTAAGCCAATCAGCTCTTGGCCTACACATTTCAATCTGATTAAAATAGAGAGGTAATGTGTTTACAACTGCTACTTTTGTGATGTATTCCTTATATGATTGCATTAGAAAACCTCAAGGCAATGTAGACACTTGTGGAGACTGCTAATAGTGTTAATTGTACTTATCAACAACCTGGCAAAATAGCTATCCCTAATTATTGTAATTTGTATTCACTGCTGAATTATCATTGCTGCTTAATTATCCCTGTTGATTGCCTCAACAAAAGGAAGGAAAAATAATATTTTTCTTTAAAAACCCTACCGTTTTTAAAATGATCACTATATATGCTAAAAAGTTCTAAAAGGTAAATAAATAAATAGATAGGTAAATAGATAAATAACATGAGCAATGGAAGCATTCTTCCATTTTTTTTCCTTCAAAGTATTTCAGACTGTATCCCAAATAATCTCAAGATTTGATCTATCAAAATCATAGAGAGAGTTCATCACTGAGAATACTAATAATGTCAGGCAAAGTATTGTCCCTTGTTGACTGTCTCTTGAAAAACACAGATGCAGAAATTGTTAACCATTCAATCAAGCAATTAATTGCAGGAGCTCCATTTTTGACTTTTTTTCTTCAATAGGATTGGCAAGCATGGCAAAGTGTTTTTGACAATCCCAAGCCTTACCAGCACAGCTGAGGAAAAGTTTATTAATAAAGGAGAGGCCCCAGGTGATGCTTCTCTTTTGGATCTAGATGCTAAAAATACTGTTTTCTATGTGGGAGGAGTGCCTCCAGATTTTAAGGTAAGAGCAATAATGGTTCTGTGCATTGTCTCTGTGAACGCTCACAGAGCGTTATTAAGAGAACGCAGTTGCTCTTAATATGATCACAGAGATCATTTATGTAGAATATGAAGAGAGTTGGTCCTAAAACACTGCCTTGGGGGACACCACTGTTGACAGGTACAGAATTTGATAGGACGCTTCCAATTTTGACCATTTGTTGTCCATTTGTTTGACAGGAATGCTTCTATCCAGTTATGTAGGTGTCCAGAGATACCATAAGATTTTAGTTTTAGTAGTAGTTTGTCATGTACCACTGAATCAAAGGCTTTACAGAAATCTATGTGGATTGCGTCTATTGCTTTGCCCTGATCGAGTTGTGTAGTCCATATGTTTTTGCAGTGTAAGACTTGCAGATTACAGGATAGATTTTTTCTGAAACCAAATTGTTTATTAGAGAGTAGGTTGGTTGTCTCTAAGTAGAGGATAATGGATTGGTTAATAATTGATTCCATGACTTTACAGGTGACGCAGCATAAGGAGATTGGTCTGTAATTTTCAACTAGGCTGGGGTCTCCCCTTTTTGAAGATGGGGATGACCGTGGCTTGTGACCATATTTTTGGCAAGGAGCTGGTCCTGAAAGATTTTTCAAAGATTATGCTTAGAGGTTCAGCTATAGCAGTGGATAGCTTTTTTAAGAAGTAGGCACACATTCCGTCCGGTCCAATAGATAGAGATGGTTTTAGATTGTGCAGTGCTTTTTCAACAATGTCTTCTGTAAAATTGATATGTATTAGATCATTGTAGTTGTCTGTGATTCAACTAGGAAATACTGGGCTTGATCTATTTCTGTTTACAAATACTGAGCCAAAGAATGTGTTAAAGAGGTTTGCTTTGATGGTGTCGTTGTTGCAGTCTTTGTCATTAGGTCCTTTCAGGGGTGGGATGGACCTTGAGTCTTTTAGTTTGTTGTTTACAAAATTGTAGACAGCATGGGTGGAATTTGTGCATAGAAGGTTTTCTTCTTGTTTAATGTGATAATAAGTGCATTCAGTTTATATCTGGTGGCATAGATTTTTGTATCGGCTTTTGAAGTTGGCAATGTGACCAGATTTGCTTTTTCGCCAAAATGATCTCTTTTTGGATTGAAGCTTCCTTATTGTTATGGGTAATCTGTTTTTCCTGGTTTTGGGAGTTGTTATTGGTACGTATAGTTTATGGCTCTTTTGATTTCTAGTAAGAATATGTTATAATGATCTTCAACAGTATTGCATCCAGTGAATAGAAATTGCCAATCAAGGGAAGAGAGATTGTTGATTATAAGATCATAGTTGCCTTATTTGAAGTTATAATTGGGTATTTTGTCATTGTGATGATTTTTGTGTGGTCATACGTTGAGACAAAAGTCAATCATGTTGTGGTCACTGTTGGAAAAGGGTTCTTTAATTTGTATTCCATAAATTGAATTCAAACTATTGCAGAAGGTGAGATCGAGGCAGTTGTTAAGCCTAGTATTGTTGGTTACTAGTTGTTCCAGTCCCAGATTTGTTACAGCATTGTAGAAGGTTGCATGTATGTTGTACATTCGTTTGTACATTCAGTTGTACATTCGTTTAGGGTCCAGTTAATATGAGGTAGATTGAAGTCACCAAGAAAGATAAAAGCGTGTGGGCAGGATGCTGCCCATGTTAGTAGTGTATTTAGCTTGTTTACATGTTCAATGTCATAATCAGGGGCTCTGTAACATAGTAAGAACCAAAATGTGATATTTAAGGTCAGTTCACAGATAATGGTCTCAGGAAGAGCAAGCTCTTGGGTAACTTGGATGTTATTTAGATGTAAGGACTTTTTATAGAAGATAGCAACACCACCTCCTCTACGGATTTCACAATCTGATCGGTAAACATGATAGTCCCTTACTGAGGTAATGGAGTCAGGGAGAGGTGTGTTGAGCCATGTTTCACAGACAAATATGATGTTGAATTTAGCCATATTTAGTAAGAGGAGAAATTCAGGTATTTTATTTACAAGGCTTCTTGCATTGAGTAGCTTGCATTTAAGGCCAGTTGTAGTTTGAATTGAGATAGTTGGGGGCATGCGTGCCTAATCTTGGGTGATGGTGGATTGGTTGAAGAAGGTTTGGATGCTGAGTTGTGGGTTGTGTGACTTTCTTTTGAAACAGTCTGCACGGTAATCAATGTACAAGTCCTTCTCTCCATTGTCTAGACGATTTTTGAGTTCTGTGCGTAGTATATGGGAGCAGGCATGTTGCTGTAAGGTTAGGTCAGGACGACATCGGAGGTTTTTATGGTTGGTGTTGTTTTTGGCAAGTGAATTTATAGTATAAATGAATTTACGTTTGCTTAATTCATTTTTGCAAATGACGCTGCAGAAGCGTGGGGCCACAGAGCCATCTCTGTTTTTGAGCTCTCGGCCAATGCGAGAAATGTCAAGTATTTCATCAGGGGAGATAGTTGATGCTTGATAGTCACTGATGATGTTGTGGACAATTGTTGATATCATCATTGTTATTGATGTCTTCTAGACCAAATAAGATGGCATTAGGACGCTTTTGTTCACGTTCGACAGCTTCTCTGACGAAGATTGGGATATCATTATTTGTTGGATTTATGTTTTTTTGTGGATTAGGTTGCAGTTGTTGGTTTGTAGCTATTGGATGTTCAGGTTTTTGTGTTGTGTCTTCTTCTTTTTTTCAAGGTTAGTTAATCTTTCATTTAAAGTGTCCAGGGATGCTACTATGGTGTCAAGGTATGATATTCACCTTTCTATAGAGTCAACTCTTTCAAACAGGGCTATATGTTTGTCCAGTTTGGGTTTTCATGGTGGGCAGAAAAATGGAAATGCATAATTGGATGTTTCTAGGAATTGAGTCATTTGCTTGGGTAATTCCAGGCAGTCATGATGAGCGTATTTTTCACATAGAGAACATTTGATGGAATTTTCATTAACCTTTAGAGTTACAGAGCATATAAAGCATGTGCAGGAGTCTTGTGGTTCATTGGTGGGGATTTTTTTTTTTTAGGTTGTGGTTTGGTATTGGATTTTTTTACTGGCATGGTGGGTTTGTTGAGATAGTACGTTGATTAAATTACTCAATAAAACAATTTTGGGTAATCAATATAGCCAATATCACACCAATTAATCAATTACAATAATCTCTCTAGTCAAGTAATTATGCTAAGCAACAATCAGCCTAATTAATTAATTACACTAATTGTTAAATACACTGTTCAATTAAATTCATTGAATCACTAATTTTACTAATCAATTAAATTACATTAAGCCTGATTTTTTTTAATATTAACTAGTAATCACAGTCTGCATTAAACACTCTAATCACACTGATCAATTAAAACAATCAATCAATTAAACAATAGATAAATTAATTATATTTAGAAATTGATTATCTAATCATTGATATAGGTATTGAGGTAGAATTAGAAAAATGTGTGTGTGTGTGATGTGCGTGTGTGTGCATATCAGTGGTGGGATTCAAATATTTTTACTACTGGTTCTGTGGACGTGGCTTGGTGGGCGTGGCAGGGTAGGATACTGTAAAATCTCCAGTCAGAGGTGGTATTTGCTGGTTCTCTGAACTACTCAAAATTTCCACTACCGGTTCTCCAGAACTGGTCAGAACCTGCTGAATACCACCTCTGGTGTATATTATATATGTGCACTTATATGTGTATATGTATGTATGTATGATAGATATATATACTATCTCACACACATGCACACACACAAAACATGTGTATTTGTGATAGAGTTGAAAGGGCACTAAATCAGTGTTGCAAGTAATGAGGAAATGATTAGTAACTAATAGCAAAAACAATAGGGCTTATCAGTTTAGTCTACATATGAATGGATTGAGTTTAAATAATTCAACAAGCAGAAGGAGAAGTTGCAAAATATGCTTTTGCTCACTAAACTAAAGAATAAACCTGTGAGGGTTATGAGATTAATCTGAATTATGTGTATACTCTCTTTAAAGGTCCCTCCAAGTTTGGACTTGCCTGGCTTTATTGGATGCTTGGAACTTGCCACGCTGAATGATGATGTCATTAGTCTGTATAATTTCAAAAACATCTATAATGTTACCAAACCAATACCTTGTATCAGGTAAGTTGATCCATCTTGGGTAGCCTGAACAAATCAATCCCTCAATCAATCAATAAAAGTACTTTTACCTTGGGTATAATCATTTCCAAAAATAAGACTTATCAAGTGGCCAGACAGATCCAGAGTGTTTTATGATTTTGGAGTCGCCAAAGTATCTGGACACAGGAGATCATACTGATACTCCATGTTTTTGAACTTCCAGCATCTATGATCTCAACCATGCAGTAATGCATCCAAAATACTGGCTGATCTCTACCATGCAATCAAAAGCCATTTCACAGTTAACAAATATTAATTAAACAAAAGGTAGATGTTTGCACCAACAATCAAAACTAATATATGCCCTGCTTTGGTGAGCAGGGCTATACAATGTTTAATTCTTAACCAATAACTTCAAACATTTCAGATGTAAATATAGTGGGGTGAAAAGAAAGTGAGAGGCTGCACAGGTGCATAAAGTACAAGTGTGTGAGACAAGCTGCATTGATGGCCAAGCTTAGGAGATCAAGAGAACTTTCCATGTGAGACAACATGCTCATTGGTCTGATTGTTTATCGCTTTCCTCAAAATTCTGATTGGCTTATATCTTACCTAGGCTCACATAACTCCTGACCAATACATTTAGATTTTATGGGAATGGGATCATTCTTTGTTTTAATTTCTAAGACATTGCTGTTTTATTCAAAAGGCACCCATTGATAATTCTTTCCATTAGTTTGTACACATCCCTTTCAGTTCAGCATGTTTAAGATCTATCAAAAATTATGTTAACCTTTTTTAGGCTTTTCCAAAGTCAAAAGTATTTAATACAAAATGAATGAAAATAAGATCCTAGAGTGAAAACCAAAATGGCGCTCTCTTTCTATTTTATCATACCCAAAGTGGTAAATAGTTTATGACATGCCCTGGGGCTATTCAATTCTGCCCCCCAATAGGAAAAGAGAAAATGACCGGGTCATTTGTCTCAGGCTCTCTTAACAGCAGGGCTAATCCTGCCTTTCCAGTAAACATTTCAGAAGTATATCTCCTAAACCATACAGTGAATGCCAGACTAGATAATCAATTGCCATTCAGATCAATTATGTCAGTTTGTTCCATCTGAATCTGATTTTTATCTTAGATCTCCAGAGTGTAGGACAGGGGTGTCAAACTGGATCAGCATTGTAGTTCTCTGCGGGCTGGTGGTGGCAGGGGGGGCAGGACCGATGCCTCCTGCAGCACCATGCCGGCCAAAATGGGGCACGGAGGGTCCATGTCCTCTGCACCTCATTTATTACCTCCATGGCCTCCTATAGCATTCTGCTGGCTGAAAATGGGCCATGAAGCCCATTTTTTGTCCTTTTTGAGGGGCTGTTTTTGGCCCATTTTCAGCTGGCAGAGTAATGCAGGAGGCCATGGAGGGTGAAAACGAGGCACAGAGGGCCACATGCAGATCGTTTTAGCTGCCAGAGGCACTGCAGGTATTTGATATTTCCAGGCCGGCCCCATGGGCCAGATTTAAGCATCCCATTGGGCCTTGAGTTTGACACCCCTCATGTATGATATAGTCCAGTTTCCTAATATTTCTTTATGTCTTTTTTTATTTCATGTTAGAGATAAACTGGCGTTTACCCAGAGCCGAGTTGTAAACTACTTCTTTGATGGCTCAGGTTATGCTTTGGCAAAGAATATTGAGAGCAGAGGGAAGTTTGGTCTTGTGACTCGTTTTGATATAGAAATTCGAACACCAAGTGATAATGGTCTTCTCCTTCTGATGGTTAATGGAGTAAGTAAAAAGGGTGGGGAAATTACACATTTTATGAGTTCTTATCTTGTTGATTTATATCTGTTCAGCTATAGCAAGAAGTAAATTATTTAAATTCTGTTTCTGAAGAAGATCCAACTGATTATTTGAAGTTATTTGGATATTATTTTCATATCATTTTATACTGCTTTAGATTATTCCTTGAATTTGAATGTTGCCTGTTGATTGTAAATTGCTTCAAGGACTATCATAATGGGAAGCAGAATAGTAATTAATTAGTCTTAATAGATTTATCAGCTGAGGAAGAGTATAAAATATACATTTTAACCTCTAAAAAATCCAATCTTTTCTGAAAAATCTAATTTTGGGGTTATGCAGAGTATGTTTTTCAGCCTGGAGATGCAAAATGGATACCTGTATCTGCAGTATGATTTCGGCTTCAGTAATGGCCCTGTGATTCTAGAAGATAATATGAAGAAGGCTCTGATTAATGATGCAAAGTTCCATGAGGTGAATTGCTTAATTATCTGCATTTCTGTCTAGCTTGTCTAACCAGCAACAAAACATGCAGATTCCCCTAGAATTAATATGCCTATTAACAGTGCCTATTAAGGGCAGTACGCATGTAAAAGGTGGATCTCGGGGTAAATCATCAACCAGTGTTAGTTTGAAGTGCCAACACATATAATTTTCCCAACACAAAGTGAAAGAACGAATACTTGTTAATAAAAAACAACAACAATTGAATAAAGGTTCCAAAAAGGGTTTCTTTTCCCTTTTCAATTCACAATGATTAACCACCAATAATAACTTTTGAACTTTAGAAAGAAAAGGACTCAGCATAGAAGAGGAAGCAAAGTAAAGAGTTCTCAGAATTAATTTGTAGAGTGATCTTGACTCCAAACAATGAATGCTATCTGTCCGACAGCCAGAGTCACCTTATAGATGCAAAGCAAGGCATATACATTTAATAAATAAATAAACACTATAACAAACTGTTAGGAATAAAGCTGGAAAGGCAGCAACCATCAAGGGAAACTTTATACAGTATCAGGATTTATCACCTTTAGCTGTTGTCCCACTCCCATCCCCAACCTTGACATGTCTGTTGCCTTGGATGTTGGGAGGAAGAAGGCTTTGGTATAAGCACTAAAGTGTATGTGTATTTATTTATTTATATCCCACCTTTATTATTTTTAAAAAGATATTGTACATATATGCATATGTACACAAAGCCATACATCAATTGCTGTGAATTGCAGCAGACAGATCTTCTAATGTAAACGGCTTCAATCTTTTTTTTTCCTCTTTGGTTGAATTGAACCTGACTCTCACTGCCTCGGTTTTCTTGGGAAAGTTTTCAGAAATGATTTGCCACTGTCTCTTCTCTAGGATGGAGAGAGTGACAGGCCCAAGGTTACCCAAATGGCTTTGTGCCTAAGATAGGATTATTTTAAAATTGCATTTTTTTTCCTGATTATATCATCAGGACTACATTGAGCCAACAGCAACTTTTCTTCTATGCATTTCTGCTGGGAAGACATCAGCAGCATGACCAGCAAAGTCTGGAATTCTGTAATCTTCTAGGACCAAACACCTGAAATTATAATTTACTAGGCCAAGAAAATTAAGGTGCCTAAATCACAAACTTTCAAAATACTGCGAAGAAAGAACAGGGAAGGAAGATTGTTTAGTCTGCAGATCATCCTCCACCTACTATAATTGTTAAACCTATCCTTTGTTCAGCTTGATGCAAAATACAGGGAATGCTTTTCCTAAGACCATTATCTGTGAACTGACCTTAAATATCACATTTTGGTTCTTACTATGTTATAGAGCCCCTGATTATGGCATCAAACATATAAACAAGTTAAATACACTACTAACATGGGCAGCATCCTGCCCACACGCTTTTATCTTTCTTGGTGACTTCAATCTACCTCATATTAACTGGACCCTAAATGAATGTACAACTGAACCCATACATGCAACCCTTTACAATGCTGTAACAAATCTGGGACTGGAACAACTAGTAACCAACAATACTAGGCTTAACAACTGCCTCGATCTCATCTTCTGCAATAGTTTGAATTCAATTTATGGAATACAAATTAAAGAACCCTTTTCCAACAGTGACCACAACATGATTGACTTTTGTCTCAACGTATGACCACACAAAAATCATCACAATGACAAAATACCCAATTATAACTTCAAATAAGACAACTATGATCTTATAATCAACAATCTCTCTTCCCTTGATTGGCAATTTATATTCACTGAATGCAATACTGTTGAAGACCATTATAACATATTCTTACTAGAAATCAAAAGAGCCATCAAACTATATGTACCAATAACAACTCCCAAAACCAGGAAAAACAGATTACCCATAACAATAAGGAAGCTTCAGTCCAAAAAGAGATCACTTTGGCAAAAAAACAAATCTGGTCACGTTGCCAACTTCAAAAGCCGATACAAAAATCTATGCCACTGGATAAAAACTGAATGCACTAATTATCACATTAAACAAGAGGAAAACCTTCTACGCACAAATTCCACCCGTGCTCTCTACAATTTTGTAAACAACAAACTAAAAGACTCAAGGTCCATCCCACCCCTGAAAGGAGCTAATGGCAAAGACTGCAGCAGCGACACTATCAAAGCCAACCTCTTTAACACGTTCTTTGGCTCAGTATTTGTAAACAGCAATGGATCAAGCCCAGTATTTCCTAGTTGAACCACAGAAAACTACAATGATCTAATACATATCGATTTTACAGAAGACAATGTTGAAAAAGCACTACGCAATCTAAAACCATCTCTATTTATTGGACCAGACAGAATATGTGCCTACTTCTTAAAAAAGCTATCCACTGCCATAGTCGAACCTCTAAGTGTTATGTCTCACCTTTCCAATGAGAATGGAAAGTCCACAACTCTGGCAAAATACAGGCAGGCAAGAAGATTCATCAACTATAGAGTTAATTCTTTGAAGCAGGCAGTGCTCTTGGCAGTACCACACACGCTGCCTGCCAAGTCCGACAAGATAACAGAACCATAAATCACAAAGGCCCCCAATAAACAGAATATACCGAAGCTCTACAGAAAAACTCACACTTTGTCCCGTACGGAGCTCTCAGAGAAAACACACCCACTTTTATCCCCTGTGGGGTGTGTCAGTCACTCAGCTCAGTCTCTGATTTGTCCCCGCTTCCTGCGTTGCAGCTCACACTTTTTCCTGTGACGTTGTCTAGTATCAAGCCAGCATTCGTCTACTTGATTCTCTGTCAGAGGCTGCTCCGATATGCCCTCCTCCTTCTCCTGATTAGCCTCAGGCTTTCCCTCTTGGTTATCTGCCGACACCTGAGGCACAATCAGGGAGGAAGGCATTGCCGAAGAGGAAGGTCCTGGGGAGGAAGGCATTCCCAATTCCTCCTCTTCCCCATCGTCCGAGTCTTCTTCCTCCAACAATGCAGGCTCGAGCCTCAGAGCCACAACATCTAAGCATAATCTTTGAAAAATCTTTCAGGACCAGCTCCTTGGCAAAAATATAGTCACAAGCCACGGTCATCCCCATCTTCAAAAAGGGAGACCCCAGCCTAGTTCAAAATTACAGACCAATCTCCTTATGCTGCATCACCTGTAAAGTCATGGAATCAATTATTAACCAATCCATTATCCTCCACTTAGAGACAAACAACCTACTCTCTAATAAACAATTTGGTTTCAGAAAAAAACTATCCTGTAATCTGCAATTCTTATTCTGCAAAAACATATGGACTACACAACTCGATCAGGGCAAAGCAATAGACACAATGTACATAGACTTCTGTAAAGCCTTTGATTCAGTGGTACACGACAAACTACTACTAAAACTAAAATCTTATGGTATCTCTGGACACCTACATAACTGGATAGAAGCATTCCTGTCAAACAAATGGACAACAAATGGTCAAAATTGGGAGCGTCCTATTAAATGCTCTACCTGTCAACAGTGGTGTCCCCCAAGGCAGTGTTTTAGGACCAACTCTCTTCATATTCTACATAAATGACCTCTGTGATCATATTAAGAGCAACTGCATTCTCTTCACTGATGATGTAAAGCTATTCAACACCACAGACAATACTACTACCCTCCAAAAAGACCTTGATTATGTATCAGAATGGTCAATCAAATGGCAACTTCAAATCTCAACAAATAAATGCTCTGTCTTACATATTGGCAGAAAAAAATCAGAAAATAAAATACAAGCTAAATAGTCAAGACCTTGTTGAGGATCCAAACTTTATCAAGGACCTTGGAGTATTCATCTCAAATGATCTAAGTGCTAGAGCCCACTGTAACTACATAGCCAAAAAGGCCTTAAGAGTTGTTAATCTAATCCTACGTAGCTTCTTCTCTGGTAATATCACACTACTAACTAGAGCATACAAAACATTTGCTAGACCTATACTTGAATACAGCTCATCAGTCTGGAACCCATATCGTGTATCTGATATTAACACAATTGAAAAAGTCCAGAAATATTTCACAAGAAGAGTTCTCCAGTCCTCTACTCATTGCACAATACCTTATGCCAGGGGTCCCCAACCACCGGGCCGCGGACCGGTACCGGGCCGCGGAACAACTCCTACCGGGCCGCTGGCTTGCTGGGCGCCGCATCTTTTTTTGATGAAAAAGTGCTTCCGGTGAGCTTTTCTGGGTAGAAAGCTCACCGGAAGCACGTTTTCATCAAAAAAAGATGGCGGCGCCAGCGCTTCCGGTGAGCTTTTCCGGGTAGAAAGCTCACCGGAAGCACTTTTTCATCAAAAAAAGATGGCGGCGCCCAGCTGATGCCGGTACCGGGCCGTGGCGCCCAGCTGATGCCGGTACCGGGCCGCGGCGTAAAAAAGGTTGGGGATCACTGCCTTATGCCACCAGACTTGAAACTCTAGACCTAGAAAATCTAGAACTACACCACATCTGGTCCAATCTAAATATAGTATATAAAATCATACATTGCAATGTCCTACCTGCAAATGAATACTTCAGCTTCAATCATAATACAAGAGCACACAATAGATACAAACTCAAGGTTAACCGCACCAAACTTGACTGCAGAAAATACGACTTCAGCAACAGAGTGGTCAATGTTTGGAATACTCTCCCTGACTCTGTGGTTTCTTCCCCTAACACTTTAACCTTAGACTGTCTACTATTGACCTCACCCCCTTCCTAAGAGGCCAGTAGGGGGCATGCATAAGCGCACCAATCGTGCCTACCGTCCCTGTCCTATTGTTTTTATTTTTCTTATAAGTATCTATCTCATGTATTCAAAACTGTATTTATTCTTATACCTGTATCTTGTAAGCGATTGACAAATCAAATAAATACTAAAAAATACTTGTTAAGCTGTTCTTCATAACTTGTCCTGAGCTCTGTTCCTTTACATTTTTCATTGCTAAACATGAATAAGTTTGGCATACTGTACATGTATGCATGCACACTGTACATATACATCCATACATCCATCCATATATCCATACATACATACTTACATACATATATACATACCCTAAAAGAGAGCCAGTTTGGTCCAGTGGTTAAGGCACCAGGCTTGGAAGCAAGAAATCATGAGTTCAAGTCCCACCTTAGCCATGAAAATCACCTGGGTGACTTTGAGCCAGTCACTGTCTCTCAGTTCAACTCACCTCACAAAGTTCTTATTATGAGGAAAATCTGTTGGATATGTTAAGTTATTTGAAAATAATGATAGATAGATAGATAGATATACTGTGATCTTGATAAAGAAACAGATAAAATAATTAATCTCTGAGAAAATAGAAAGTGTAAGAAAAAGACTAAGTACAATCCTACTTTGTCCTTAAAGGGGAGCAGTGAAGGTTTTGAACAGGCTTTCAAGGCTCTATTATTATATTTTATAAGAATAAATAGCATTCCTGAAATCCTCTACTTCTTGACCTGACCTACCTTGAACAGCTGACAGTAATGGAGATTTTAAGGCTGTCTTTGTTGTTCCTTCCCATACTTTCAGTGTTATCATTTGACCTTTCAGTGTTATCATTTGACCTTTCAGTGTTATCATTTGACCTTTCAGTGTTATCATTTGACCTACTTGCAAAACACTTGAAAAGAAAGCTCTCCTCAAAATGTGTTTTCCTCTTTCCATCATCTCTCTCTCTCGACAAATTGTTCTGATTTTACAGAATGAACCATTGTAAGGCATCAGTATATTGTTGTGTGATATAGACAAAAAGGCCAAAGACAGAGAGGTATAATAGTTAAAGCATTTTACTTCAAACAAGAACATCAAGGTTATAGTCGAACCTCAGACTCAAAAGCTCCCTTGGGTGATTTGGGCCAGTCACTTTCCCTTAGTGCAACCTACGGTAGAAAATACAAGGGGAAGAATGCACACTGCTTTTTACTCCTAAATGAAAGATGTATTATAAATTAAATAATTCACTGGATTCTATTCTGTGTCTTTTATCTTTATTTTTCTTCATTTCAGATATCTGTCATATATCATAATTCCAAGAAAATGATCTTGGTAGTGGATAGGAGACATATAAAAAGTGTGGAAAATGAAAAGAAAAACATGCCATTTAGTGATGTCTATATAGGAGGAGCTCCTACCGAGATTTTAAAATCTAGGTTAGTTGGTTTATAATCATTCAGAAGGTTTTTTTTTTCATTTGTAACTTGATGTTTATTTATAAATTACATAATACATACAGTATAATGATGTGAATTTAAAATACAGTTATAGGAGGTAGAATAATTTGTGTATCATGTATTATGCAGTAATGGAGGCAAAGCAAATGACGATTTATTAGAGAGCATCTTATAATGGAGGCCCACCCATTTGGAGGGCATCTAGGTTGAGAAAAGATATGTTAGCATTTTACTGGGTCATTCTGTTCCAGCCAAGTGGGGCACATTTAATATGTAGTCTATTATACATTCATTTTATGTAATCTTCTTTCCTCAAATGCAGACATCACTTCCTGATCTGTTGTATATTGCTTGTTTTCCGTTCTTTGGGGAGAGAGGGGTATTTGAGTTTTGATTATAGCTGTTCATTGAATATCTTCTGTAGAATACCAAAGTACCTCTTTGGATGTCTGCCTTCTTGGATAGATCAGACAGGAATCAGAACCAAATGAGCTAATTCTATTTTATTATAATCCACACTTGCCAGTGGGGAAAAACATGTCAGATCCTTCAAAAAATTTCACACCCAGAAATGCACTTGCCAGCGTTGTTTGCATAATATGAAAACGCCCAACTACAGTTCTTCTGGAAGAAGGCAGTGCAGCATTATAACAGGCACAGCCATGATTTCCATGTGCATCATGACAGGGTTCTGCGCAGTCTGGACACATGGCAAGAAATGATCTTGATGTAAAATGATGCCAGAGGGTGAAGCTTCCCACCAACTATAAAGTTGCCCATTGTCATTCACAGCATCATCAGAAGATGGCTGTGAAGCAAGGGTACTGTGTCCTTTATTCAGTGGTCAGCCACTGAACATGTGGAAATACTATTACTTCATTTAACTGCTTTATGATGGAGGGTTGTCCTTCTCCCTTAAGCAATTGAAAACTTCCTCCAATGAATCACGTTAGGGTTACATGTATTTCTCAGGCTGAATCTAGAGAGAGAAGCTCCCCAGATGTCGTTTCTTTCCCATTGAACGGTGCAGTCTACTGTTTTATTTTGCATTGGCATTCTGTATTTAGAATCCACTAGCCATGACCCTTGTCGCTCAACAAACATCTGTCATGCCTTCACAGTGGTGTCAGCTCACACCTGGCTATCAGTACATCCTTTAGGGGCTGTATGAAAGGTTTCCAGTTCCAAAAGAAGGACTTCAATTTGTTGGAAGAGCCAGGTACCCTGGGCATTGGTTATGGCTGTCCCGAAGAATCACTTGTAAGTGTGTAATTGTGCTTTTCTGTTGTTTTTAAATATATATAATCTTATTTTGTGATCTTTCTTGTGTTCTTTTGTGAATATGTTTATTTTCTTTCACCAATTTGTATTATAAAATTGTAAAGATAACATTTCTTAAAGCAATTTTCTCTCTTAATATAATATTCCTTTTGAGTAAAATAATTGGAAGTGGTATCTGTTATTGAATGTAGAATACATTTCTGAAAGAAAACCAATGTGATAGATTTTATAGTCAGATGTTTTGACACTTTAATAAATATTTATGTCTTGTCTTCTTTCATTCCACAGATCAGATTTTAAGCAAGCTTATTTTCAATTGCATACTGTACTTCAGATACATCTAATACTTAACTATAACAGGATGACAAAATGATAATTTGGCATCCCCAAATTATGTGAGCAAAGGGCCCACAAAGTATTTTTTAAAAAGTGAACACAAATGAATACAAGCTATTTTTTTTTTTAATTTCAAAATCATAGTACATAGGCGTGGTATTTCCTAAGTTCTACAATCAAATTCTCACTGTTGTCAGTAGAAGTAATTTTTTAAAATATTTAAGAATAGTTGACCTAGATTCAGATATAGATATTAGGATCTTGATAGCACTGACCTACACATATCCCAACTATCCAACCTACCAAGATTTTTCCATTTGAAATTCCTGTAGGTGACATTGACAGTAGGCTAGATGAATATTAATATTTGTAATAACAGTACTCCCAGTTATGGCATCAACAGCAATAGTAATAATACTATTATTCATTGTAGGCCATATTCTTCTACTTAACTTTCTTGGAAATGGATTTAAGGTCTTCCTGAAGCTGCTTGATTTTTCAGTTGAGTTATTAACTTCTATGCAAGGAGAAAATAAAAATAAGGTGCATATCCTCAAAATCTGTGTACCATGAGATTCCAAGAGTATTATCTGAACCTCATTCAATGGGACATGTTGAGGCACAATTTTCAAAGCACCATTATTGTAGAAGCTAATTTCTTTCCAACAGCATTTATGTGTGAATCCCACTGAAGGAAATAATTATAGAGTGGCAGTGTTTGGTGAACTCTAGAAGAGGTTGTCAACAGTGTATCTCTGTTACAGTGTGATAAAGAGTTCACACACACTGCTCTGTGATGATCACACATCAACATTGGAATCTCTGGGCATTTTGGAATGTGATAGTTGACCCCTTGGATTCTTCCTGCTATTGTTATTTTCACCTTTTGCTCTCTACTCTCCCTATATGTTTGCTTTGTTTACTTGATGAACAGGTGTCCCGCAAAGCATATTTTAATGGTGAAAGCTATATCGCATCCAGCCAGAAAATCTCTCCTTTTCATATGTTTGAAGGCGGCTTTAATTTCCGAACTTTACAGCCTAATGGACTGTTGTTTTATTGCACCGAAGATGTAAGTCTGGGGTTGTTTTCCACATATTTTAAATGTATTTCTTTGAAATAAATATGGTCAAGACAAAAGTCTTGTTTTCGTCTTAAAGAAAAAAGCTAGCTGCTCTTAAAAAGAAATTTTAAGTACAGAAGATATATTAAGGGATATTATAGATTAAATCCCATAAATGCCAATCCAATAAATTTAACAAGGATGTCTCTGAGATAAACTGGAACTAATGTGATGGCTAAAACTTTCATTGGGTTGGGGACAAACAATTAAAGCCTCCTTACTGAGGATAGAATGAAAGTGGAAGTTTCCTTTGTACCTTTAAGTCTATGTAGTCTCTTAGTGACAACATAGTTGACCTTCTCCAGTATGCAATGTTGATCTAGATTTAATTTAGGATGATAACAATGATTATAACTATGTGCGTGTGGATCCACACACATATGCACATGCACATACATTTGTATTCATATATTGTATAATACAAGGTGTTTTCTGCAGTGTTTAAGATAATTAGATGATCAAACCTTCAATTTTATATATATATGCATATACATATACATATTCTGTACGTATACATGTACATATACATATACATATACATATACATACATACACACACACACACACACACACACACACACACACATATCCTTTCATGGTATTTCAACTGCCCATCCCAGCAGATCTAGCAAAGAAAGTGGTACAAGTTCTGGTGGTTAGGGAGCTACATCTGATGGGCCCTAGGCAGTGGGCCTTTTCTGCTGTGGCACCCATGCTGTGGAATCTTCTCCCCCTTGAGGTGAGATCGGCCTCATCTTTTCTGAAAGCCCCCCAAAACCTGGTTTAAACCTGGCCTGGGGCTCCTAGGGAATGGGTGAACTAGTGAGTTGGCTCCATTATCATTAATACCCCTTCATCAGCAACTTGTTTGTTCTTGATGTTTTTATAGTCTTTTTAATGGTTTTAATGGTTTTAGGTATTTATTGATTGTTTAGCTTTGTTGTACATTGCCCAGAGTAGCTTGTTTGGTGAGGTGGGTGAAATTGAAAATGTAAAAAAAAAATGAATGCAAAAAAATGTCTTCCATTCCCAGCAATAAGAACATGTTCTTTTCTTCATTTCAGTCAGAAGTGTTCTCTATTTCCATGGAAAAAGGAAATGTGGTATTAAATGCAAAAGGAGTAAAAGTTCAGACAGCAGACAAGTCCTTTAATGATGGAAAGGCCCATTTTATCATGACAACTATCTCACCTGAAAAGTAAAGTTGCAAAAATGTTTCTTCTTACACACATCTAATCATAATACATAGATACCATTATTCTGCATTTGTTAGAATATCAAGTGCAATCTTATTATTATCAGAGTAAAAACTTCATTAAGAAAATTGGGGGGGGGGGACTTTTGTGCTCAGCCTTTACCAAAACTAGTTGGACACTTGATTTCCATACAAGATCACTTCTGGTGTACAAGTAGAGGAGTAAAGGTTGCCAGTATCATTTAGACCCAAACAAAATGTCTGTGGCAATCCTGCCATGAGACACATAGCATTTATGTGTATCAGCAACCACGGGCAAAAATGAGAATTTGGACTCAGAAGGGGAGCCAATAGGGACAAGGCAGAGGTTTCCTTCATGTACAAACCCTACATCTCTGGATAATTAAAGTTATTTATTTTTAATTCCTGCACCTCTTTGTCAAAAAATGTTTCTAAGGCATCTTGGCTAAAGCCTATTAAGCCTAAATTATATATTACCAGAAGCAGGTCAAAGCTGAGAACTAGATTAGGGAACTGCAGCTTGCAAAATGCTCTCCTACGTGGAGGCTGCCACCTAGTGAGTCATTCATCAAATTCAACATTCAAGAAAATAACTGCTAGCAATGAGACATTTTCTCACTTGTCAACCCAGTGCCTTTGAAGATTTCCTCATGAGATCTATGTTCTCTGCAGGCTTGAACTTTGGGTAGATGAAAAAAGACAAAGCAAAAATAATCCGGCAAAGGATGCAGCTGAGAGAAAGCCTGTAAGCACCAAGAAATTCTACTTTGGGGGTTCACCCCTCAGTACACAATTAGCAAACTTTACTGGCTGCATAAGTAATGCCTATTTCACAAGGTGAGAACATTTTGGCTTTGGGGGGTCCTTTTCTTGAGCCACGATATTGCTGCCTGAGAGGGGGTTACTTCCTTTTTAAAATTAACATTTTGCTGTATTGTAAGTGATTATTTTATTTTGAAAGGAAAGGAATCTGCATTAGAGGAAAAACAAATGAACTCACTATGGGGTAATAGCACCCCAAGGGTCATATAACAATTAGTAGGTTTTTGAATTCTCCAAAATCCTTCATTAAGAGTTTTATTTTTAAAAAATCATGAGAGAGAAGAGAAACAGATACAGATGAGAGAGAGACAGAGACAGACAGAGATAGAGGGAGGGAGGGAGAAGAGAGAGATGATATAGATAGATGATAGATAGATAGATAGATAGATAGATAGATAGATAGATAGATAGATAGATAGATAGATAGATAGAT